AAGTTGTTATGACAAGAAATCAAATGTTCTTGTTGAATCTTAAAATTGACACATCCAAGTGTTTGAAGTCTTATGTAGAAGATTCTTCTTGGCTATGGAATATGAGATATGTACATTTGAATTTTGGTGGTCTTAAGTCTCTTGGAGAGAATAAGATATTCATAGATCTTCCCCCCATCAAACATTTGGAGCAACTTTGTAAAGCTTGTGTCACTAGCAAGCATCCAAGGAACAGCTTTCCAAAGCAAACATCTTCTAGAGCAACGATGCCACTCCAACTTATCCATGCAGATTTATGTGGACCTATCAAACCATCTTCTCTTGGTAAAAGTAATTATTTCTTACTTTGTATTGATGATTTTAGCAGGAAGTCATGAGTATATTTTTATTAAAAAGAAATCTAAAGCTTTTGATGCATTTAAAAGCTTTAAAATAATGGTGAAAAATTAAAGTGGCTATTTGATCAAAGCTTTGAGAACTGATAGAGGAGGTGAATTCACATCAAAAGAGTTCAATGTATTTTGCCCGATGTCGTCACCGTTTTCCGGTCGGGACGTTGAAAAATATATTGTTCGACACGACTTTCGAGGAATATATGCTGAATACCTAGAAAAGTCCTAAAAATGATTTTTTTTAAATATTTAAAGGCAAAAATTAGTCCGCATTTAACCAGAGATTCTTTTTTAAAGATTCAGAAGTCGGTTACGCATTGGGAAGGGTAAACACCACTACAGCGCCCAAGATTTGTACCTCTATATTATATGTTGTCAGAAATGATGAAATTTTACAAATTTGAACTATAAATTTAAATTACGATCATTTTCATGTGTGTGATTTTTTAGACTGAGTGAATTTATTTTTAAAATGTTTGACTCGATGAAATATTTAATTCACTCAATTTTATTTAAAATGGATATCCTCTTACTACGTGAATTAACCAAAATTGAAATCCAATCATGTTGGACTTAGTTTTGTTAACACACAATGTGAGATAACATTGCCTTTAATCGTTTTAGGAAACAAGAAATCGAATATATTTCCCCTAAATACAATAATAGATAACATATAGAAGGTTGATGAAATAAAACATTAACAAAATAAAATAATAAAACTAAACAAGGGTGAACAAATAATTAAACAATAATAAATAAATAGGCTCCTAAAATAAGTGAAAAGGAAACATTTATACTTGATAAGGTGATTATGTAAAAATAACACATATAATATATCTACCAATTATTAAAAAAATTAAAATGAATAGAAATATATAAATAATAACATTAAAAATATTTTATTCGAATAGCCCTAGGAATGACATCCTAGGTGTTTGGGGGTCTTCCATAGATTAGTCGAATAATTAAAAAAATTTAAAGATATTAAAATAAATTATATCTTTAATAATAATATATACATATGACAATCATTATAAAAACCAAATTTGGTGATATACAAGTGCATGTGTAGATAAAAAGACATCATTAACAAAAGTATAATTTTATATAATATTATGTATTATATATTTACATAGAGATATGAGATAAATATGTACATAATAATAATTGTTAAGATCGAAGAGGCTCAATTGAACAACCGAAAATATTTGCCAAGAGAGGTTGAATTGTTTTTTGTGTTTAGGGAGTAAGGAGATTAGAAAGATAGATAAATTTTGCACAACGATTTATAGTTGTTCAACTTCTCAACTAAGCTACTTCCACTACCTTAGCTCCTCACTAAGGATTTTCTAACAAATTCACTAATTTGTTCTTTCTTTTTCAAGGATCAAGAGTAAACTTTACAACTCCCTAGTTTTTTACTTGTCTAAACTAGAACCAGCCTCCTTTACAAAAGGAAAAAAAGAAGTAAACAATAAAACCTCTCAAAGGTAGGGTGTTTACAAATTTAACTCACTAAAAACACAAATATTTACAAGAGAGATAAAATAAGATTGAAAAACTCTTCTATTGTGTTTGATTGCTTGGATAGGTGTTCTAACACTTCTTCAAGTGTCCTCAACTTGTATTTATATGTTGGAATGAAGTTGTGGTCGTTTATAGCAATTTGGATGATTTCTAGTTGTTTGGGGATGAAAACTCTGCAAAATAAAACTGCCCAGTAAAAAGGGTATCGATACTCTTAAAGGGAGTATTGGTGCTACCTTTGTTATTTTTAAATCAACTAGCCGTTGAGGCCTTATGGTATCGATACTATGACTATGGTATCGATACTAGTATACAAAGTAGTATCTGTACCCCTTTGGGTATCGGTACCATTTTTACATTATAGAATTTGAGCATTGCTGGTAGTATCGAAACTACCAAGTGAGTATCGATACTTCCCTTACCGTTGGTATCGATACCATATGAACAATATCAGTACTGTTCATGAGACATCGATACTGCTTGTCCAAAAAAAATATTTTGTGTTCAATTTCAAGTTAAATGGACTTTGAATTATTTTTGAAAACTTTAAAATTTTGAACAAATTCAATTCCAGTTCAAAAACATTTTACCTTAAATTGTTATACCAAAATATAGTTCAACAATAATAATATAAAAAACAAACAAATTACAAATACAACGACCAAATAGTTTAAGGCTAATTTGAAAGAAATTAAAGTTACAAGGTCTAAACATGCAAATAGTTGATAAAATTATAAAAAGGGGACTAAAATGTGACACGCGTAAAACTTGGAGGCTAGGAACGTAAATAACCCCTAACAAACCATATTAATTAGAGCAGTGACAGAAATGTAAGCATGACAACATCAAATGACTAAAAAACATAATTAACCCATATGTTTCATGATCGAAATAATAAATTACAAACGAAAAAGGACTGAAAGAGTAGTTACCCCAAAAGCCCAAAACGCGCAGTTCATAAAGGGTAAAACGACGTCTTTTTAAAGCTGGTATAAAAACCCCTTTTAGCCATTCTTTTTCATTCTTCTCTTTCTTTCTTTTTCTTTTTTAGAGAGAAAAGCTCTATCTTCTCTCTAAATTGTGGTCGTCTTTCGACTGTCTCGACCACCGTCGGCCGCCATACCGCCAGCCTCTCTAGTGGTCGTTCAGGCCTAAAAATTATGGGTTGGCTCTCCTAGACGTCGTGGTCACAGATCCAGGCTCTGTTTCACACGAAATAACCTCCAACACCATGAAATAAGCCGTAACCTTTTCAGCTTCAACCTCATCGATTTGTCTTCTCCACCGTTGGATCGGGCCAAGATTGGAGTATGTCACTTCCCAGGGCACGATGAACCTCCTCATCGTTCCAATTAGCCAATGAAGGTCTTTAACGCCAGTGGAAGGTTCAGCCGGATGGTAACTTCCCCTATCCTCTTTTTTATGCTTTTTTGTGACCTTTTTTTAATGCCCCTTGTTATATAAAATGATGACTTAGTCTGATGAGTTTGATTTGATTTTGATTTTTTTTTATTTTTATGTTTTGATTTGATTTTGTGGTTAGTTTCTTGGAATAATGACGGTTTGGTTACCGATGACATGACCAACGACAATAACAACGGTGGCGACAGAGGAGAGGTAGTGCTGACAGTTAGGGTTTTTAGGTTTGGATTAGTTTTTTTTGGGTTTGTATTGGGCTTGGAGTATTTGGGCCGGTTCTGGTTTTGGGTTTGTAATAATAATAATAATAATAATAATAATAGTAATAATAATAATAATAATAATAATATAGCACAAAAAATGGTGATTACACCAGAACCATGGAATTCATCGTCCTCTAACAATTGATAGATCTCCACAACAAAATGGTGTTGTAGAAAGAAAGAATAGAGTAATTCTCAATATGGCTAGAAGTATGTTGAAAAGTAAACAAATGCCTAATGAATTTTGGGCAAAAGTTGTTTCTTGTGCAGTTTATCTTTCTAATAGATGTCCCACAAAGAGTTTGAAGGATAAAACACCTCAAAAAGCTTGGAGCAGAAAGAAGCCTAATGTCTCTCATTTACGAGTCTTTGGGAGTATTGAATATGCTCATATTCCTAAACAAAAGAGATTCAAGCTTGATGACAGAAGTAGGAGATGTGTCTTTATTGGCTATGACTCAAATTCAAAGGATACATATTGTTCCAACCATATACGAAGAAGGTGATTATCAGCAGAGATGTTGAGTTTTATGAACAAAGTACTTGGGATTGGAATGTTCAAAGAGAAGACATGTATGACTACTTTCCGTAATTTGACACTGAAGGTGATGAAATGGATGATCAACCACTACCACCTCCTACACAAGATTTAACAGAGAATCTCGTACTAGATCCAAATGAAGGAGGAAAAACTCCAGCTGTTCGAAGATCAACACGAGAGACAAGATTTCTAGAAAGATACAAGGATTATTATTTAGAATATAATGACAATCATTCACTTTTCTGTTTATTTGCAGACAATGAACCATTAAATTTTAAAGAAGCTGTGAAAGATGAGAAATGGAGACATGCAATGAAGGAAGAAATCGATGCTATCAAGAAGAATGAAACTTGGAAGTTATCATCTTACTTGAAGGGCACAAACCTATCAGTGTAAAGTGGATATTTAAAACAAAGAAATCTGCTAATGGGGAAGTAGAGATGTATAAAGCAAGACTTGTTGCAAAAGGCTACACACATAAACAAGGTGTAGATTATGATGAGGTATTTGCTCCTGTTGCTCGAATAGAAACAATCAGATTACTTATTTCTATTGCTGCTCAGAAATAGGAAATTCATCTACTTGATGTTAAGTCAGCTTTTCTAAATGGTTTCCTTAAAGAAGAAATTTATGTTGAACAACCAGAATGTTTTGTAATTAAAGGAAAAAAAGATAAACTCTTGAAGTTGAAGAAGGCTTTGTATAGCCTAAAACAAGCACCAAGAGCTTAGAATAACATAATTGACAAGTATTTCCAAGATAATGGATTTAAAAGGTGCACTCATGAGTATGCACTTTATGTTAAAATCTATGAACATGATATTTTGCTTGTTTATCTCTATGTAGATGGTCTTATTTTCTTAGGGAGCAACCCAACAATGATTGAAGATTTCAAAAAGTATGTCGAAAGAATTTGAAATGACTGATTTAGGGTTCATGTCTTATTATTTGGGCTTCTTGAAATGACTGAGTATGCCAATGGACTTCATGATGGAGTGGGATGAACTAACTGATTAACTGGTTTTTGTTTTAGTGTCCTTTTACTGAACCCTTCCATCAAACTATGTATGTCTGATAGCAAGTTTTTAGGCTTGGCCAAGCTTTCTCTAGAAGACTTCAAATCTACCTTTCGAATATCTTGCAATTCGAGAAGGCATATATTCTCCAGATCAATAGGTTTAATCTGCAACCTCTCTTGGAGAAGATTGATTGTGTCATCTCCATCACAATTACTGGTAAGCAAGTGGTCCAGAAGTTCACTAACCTTGTTCTCTGCATTGGCCACTAAGACAGAGAGCATATAGCATTATGTTATTGCATGCACGTTGGGGGTAACTTGCAACATGATGAAAAACGAACACGTACAAAATCAAGTTATATGGCAGGTCAATTTTAGTTTTGTAAATGAGACATCAAGAATGGGATAGCAGGGACGGAAGAAAGTAACACCCTAGGCTAAATGAACCTTTCCCGACTTACCACTCAATTCTGTCTCTTGCAATTCAACATTCTGGTCAGAATTTTCTGATTTTGAATGGCAAAGGGGACTGCGAATTTCCTCTTCAAAGCTTTCTACAGGGGAGAAAGCAGTATAATAAGGATGTTTATATTTAACCGATCTCCTGACCATAAATTCAAAGATTATGTCAGATACATGTATGCTTAAGAAAAAACTGAATACAACGGAAATTTGATAAGGGGAACACTAATCACACCGCAACATTCCAGGACGACGAGGCCTTGCAGACATGGACCGAATATTTTGATCCAAATCCATCAGAGCAGTACCCATCAGCTTCTCTATTTCTCTTTTGGCATCTATAAAACAATACATAGATTCATGGAAAGCTATGTTCATAGAAATAATAGCAGATTGTATTTACCAATAAAACAAAAATGAAATCAAGCAGCAAACTTACTTTCGGCCCTTTCAAATGCCACAAAGAATTCCTCGGGATCTACCAATTCATCAATGTCTAAGTTCGGTTCCAAATTTACAGTAGGCTGACTATCAAAAATTGAAGAAATGAAATGAAAATCAACAGATATTACCACAAAAGTAAAGTGAAATTAAGTAAAATAGGCAGTTTCAAGTAGAACTGACCTTGAGTTAGGTTTCAAAGAGAAACGAGGTCGTTTACGGCCTAATGCCGGTCTTCATTCTCGAGGATTTTCCATAATTTCAGCATCAGAATTTAACATATCCAAGTTCAAGAGCTCTGAACTATTATTATCTACAATTCCTTTGGCTTGCTCTATAAGCTTATTATGACTTTGCACTGGCTGAAAAATTATTGGAAAAAAATCAATACTAAATTAGTATTTTTCTCATAGTACAAAACAACAGTAATGAAATTTAATAGAGAAGAACGAAAATTCAAATAAAGAAGGAGGGGGAGGGAAACGATGGATTTGAGAAATTCGTGAGAGTGCTAAAGATATTCGGCGTTATGAGGTGGCGGAGGGTTTGGAAAGGAAGCGAAGGTCCGAGGGAAGAGCGCGAGACCCGAATAGGCCTCCAGCGGATCAGAAGGGAGAGTTTGGAAAGACATTTGCTTTGTTTCTATGGGATTGAGATTGGGCCGCGTGTTGACTCGGTCGAATCGGAAGAGAGGGGAAGACTGCAACTTTGGAAAGGTGAGTTTTGAGTTTGCAATTCGAAAAAGGAAACTGAGTGGGAACCCAGCGGAAACGGATTGGGTTGAGACGATCTGTGGTTACCGTGGGTCTACTGCGCTCTTTTGTTTTTGCAAATGTATCCCTGTATCCTGCTTGTCTCGCATCAGCTACCCCTCTTACTTGAAAACTGCAACCCGTTATCCGTGGACCGGTTTCATGGGTGGATGTATAAATTCTTAATTCATTTTAGGGTCCGAGTCGAATGTTAATAGTATAATAGATACACTATACTTAGCATCACTTAATTATTGTTTTTTTATTTTAATCACTATTTTTTAAGTTTGTCAGATTTCACTATTTAGTTGGTGTAATTAAATCATACGTCGTTAATATTTAATTAATTAGCTGACGTGATTGTTAAAATAATTAATACAATTATATATTTAATTTTTATATTTATACATTTTATTAAATTAGTCATAGTTGTAATTCATATTATTAACTTTAATCTCAAATTAGACGACGGCATGTGTCCTAATATGATTGAAGGATATCTTTTTAATCTTAATTAATTTATTTTTTACACAATCAATGATAGCAAGTTTATCATAAAAAATGACATTTTCGTAAAAACAAAAAAAAAATCACTAATGTAAAGTTGAGTGTGTAAAAAATAATAGATTTAATTAAAATATTTAAATATCTTAAACATATTTTTATTTTAAATCAAATATTAAGATGCTAATTTGAAGTTTGATTTCAAGCACCACATACGTGTATGTAAGTTTATTATCAAATAATTGAAAATATTTGAATATATATTACATTTTATTAACTCTAAATTTATCAAAAATAAAATAAATCAAGTATTATATATTAATTATATTTTTAAGGCTTAAGGGTCACCTTTATCTCTATACTAGACCCAATTTATTACTTTCGCTCTTATCGTATTTTCGCATCAATTCAACCCTTCAAAATTGTTTAATTGCATCATTTTATAACCTACCCCTAACTTAAAACCCTTAATTATAAACCATAAACCATAAACCATAACCATATATCCTCTGAATCGTAAACTTTAAACTATAATATTAATTTAGGGTTTATAATTTAAGATTTTAATTTAGGGGTAAGGTATAAAATGATACAGTTGAACAAATTTGAGGACTAAATTAATACGAAAATAAAATAAAAACAAAAGTAATAAATTGAGTCTACCAACGAGGCAAAAGTTACTCTTTTGTCTATTTTAAAATATATTTAATCGTGAATAAAATATTAGTAGTTTAGGTGATCGTAAACTTCTCTTTTGATCTAAGTTCAAAACCTTATTTAACACGGAAGAGACCAGTAATCTATTAATAATATTTAGATATATTATTAAAAAGTTATTTAAAATAATGTATACCGATGAATGATTAACACTAAATTAATCATTATCATTAATTCAACCATATTATTTATATTTTTGTCAAAATTACAAAAAGCGGAACCTAAAATATTGAAAATGACAAAAATATTCCTTGCCTTTTTTCTTTTTTCGGAACAATAGATTATTTATTTTTAAATTTACCTTTATTTTTACGCTTCTTGTTCACAGTAGGGTTGAAGAAGCAGATAAACGCCACCAGTCCACTCTCTCATCTCTTACAAACCCCTAACTCTCCCCTTATCTCTCTCAATCTTATAACCCTTTTTCTCCGTCGAACGAATCTTAATTCTTCTTCAACGAGTTTCTAATTTTCTTCTTCAGAGAAAGCAATGGGAGCTTCCTTGCCTCCGAAAGAAGCTAATCTCTTCAAACTCATCGTCGTAAGTCTTCGATTCTCTTTTCTCTCTTATGGTTCAATTAGTATTTCTAATCGGCATCGATTTCGTATTGATTTTCCTATGCAGTGTTTATTCGATCGCACTTCTTTTATCATCTTGTTCTTTGCCTGTAAAACCCTAGCTGTATGATGGTATCTTTGGTCGTCGAAGAAATATCTGGATATCGAATGATCAACAGAAATTTGGACTAGATGTGCTTGTTTTTCAATTAGTTTTTAGCAACTTTATTTATTTATAATTAAGTTCATTTTTTTCTGGTTTAGCTATTGAAGCTTAATTAAGTTAATCGGCTTTGCTTAAACCGTGTCAATGAGGTCATTTTTTTTCAAAAAGCAAATGTAAAAAAATAAAATTTCTTTTGAACGTTTTTTAAACAATGTTCCTCATTTTTGGCTTTTAACACAACTATTCAAGACATTACATGACCCTTGAGAAGCAATCTATTTGAGCATTTGATAACAAGCTGATACTTGGATAACTTTTTAGCTTCACAGGTTAAAATGTGAATATTTATATATTTTAAGAACTTTGTTTATGTTTGATATAAAACAGCTACATATGAAAGTTCTCCGGATTCCACTTTGAGTCCCTCTCTTCCTCTCTCTTCGATTAGTGAAAACTAGAACTGTTTGGTGATTCCTTCCCCTTTTAACTTCCTATGGTAAATAAACTCTCGACAGAGTTTTTTCCTTTTAGCACATTTTGATGCAATTAATTTTTATATATTATTGACTGGATTTTATATTATTGGCTTGAAGGTTCACGTGTTCTTGCTAAAGCTCGTGTATAATTTTTTTGTCATTGCAGAAATCATATGAAACTAAGCAATACAAGAAAGGACTGAAGGCTGCTGATCAGATACTGAAAAAGTTTCCCGATCATGGAGGTAGTTTAATTGATGCACCTTTTTGGTCCCTATATTCTGATGTACCCGTGTAAAGATGCAAGAACTGTAAAAAAAAATAACTTTATACTTACAAGGCAAAGGGGTTATTTTTTAGATAGATATTGCTGGTGTCCATGTTATCAGTTTGGATTATATTTACAGTTATACCCCATAACTTGACATGATTGTTTCTTACGTCTTGTCATAGCTATCACTTGCATTTTTTTGAAAGCACTAGCTGTATAGTGATTATTCCATGATGTATGATGCTTTATCTTGGTTGGTTTTTATTAGCTACAATAATGTATTATTGCTAGAGTATATATTGTTTTCCCATTCTGCATTTTATGAAATATACCCATCTATTTAAATAAGCAGCTTCAAAGTAGAATTTTGCACTCCATAGTCTAACTACCTGTTATTTTTAGTGTTTGTATATTTTTATGGGTTTTTTTACTTTTTGTCAGAAACATTGTCGATGAAGGGGTTGACTTTAAATTGCATGGATCGTAAACCTGAAGCATATGAACTTGTCCGGCTAGGTTTGAAGGTTGTCTTGTTTCTTTTCTTTCAATCCATGTAATGTCACAGCACTGTCATTATTTCCTAACATTGTTTTCTTGTTTATCCTACTGTAGAATGATTTGAAAAGTCATGTTTGCTGGCATGTTTATGGTCTTCTCTATCGTTCTGATAGAGAATACAGGGAGGCTATCAAATGCTATAGAAATGCTCTGAGAATTGATCCAGACAACATTGAAATACTACGGGACTTGTCACTCTTGCAGGTATACCTGAGTTACCTTTCTTCCTTTTGATTTTTGTGCTTCTAGACTCTGTATTTAATCCAAGAATCATGCCTTCATACCAAAGAACTCCTTCTTGCATAAGTTCCCAAGATCTATGCTTAGCATGGAATTTTCTTGAATAGTTAAAGGAATTTCTATTGTATGCTTTGTGGTTGGCCAGAAAGGTTTCTTGAATTCGATTGTGGAATTTAATAATCTTAAGTATTCAATTTTAATATGCAAGTTAAGATTGCAACTAAAATAGCTTGGTGCTAGCATTTTTAAAACCATAATGTCCGTGGTAAAGGCAAGCTCATTGTGGCCACTTAGTATAATTGGATGAAAACCCAATTACCCAAGATCAGACAACAAATACTGGTGAAAAAGTTTTCCATATAAAGTTGGGAGTTAAAACAGAGTTGAGGGTAATGAGGGTGAGGAGGGTAATTGGGAGAGGCATGTTTGGGCAGGGGTTGCTCCTCCACTGGTAGAAGCTTTTGTTTGGCAAGTTGCACATCAAAGAGTAGCAGTGAAAGAGGAGCTGTCGAAGAGAGGAGTGGTTGGGATTGAGGACCTCTTATACCCGATGTGTGGGAAGGGAGAGGAGTCAATTTCACATTTTTTTTGCATTGTGAGGTGGTTTGGGTTTTGTGGTCTAGATTTTTGAGGGGCTAGAATATTTCTTTTGTGGTTCTTAATAAGGTGATTGACTTCTTAATTTTGTGGGATGAGTTAATTCCGAGATCTACAATTTGGAAATTCATTCCAAGGGCGGTGTTGTGGTCGGGTTGGAAATGTAGGAATGAGATTATTTTCCAGAAAGGGAAAGTGGATTCTGCACTGCTGTTCTTTCTTGCTAGATTCAGAACTGTTTCTTGGTTTGGGGCGAGATTCAAGGATATTAATATTCCTTTTGATTCTCTAGTTGGGGATTTAAAATTGGCAGACTCGATTGGAAGACAGAACCATAGAAGCGTTCCTACTTCTTGGTGGGTACCTCCGCCAGAAGATTTCATTAAACTTAATGTTGATGGGGCAATGGTTAAGGGATGGGACAAAGGAGGAATTGGCGGTCTGATTAGGGATGATAGAGGTTTGAAACTAGGAACTTTCTCTGAAAAAATTGGAGGAGGTCCTCCTATTCTTGCAAAGTTGCTGGCGATCAAAAGAGGTTTTAAGTCTCATTGAAGAGTTGGGATCTTTTCCAACTCAGAGGATTATCTTGGAATCAGACTCGACCACGACTCTCAAGTGGATCAAAAATCCAGATTTATGTACCCCGTTGTTTCAGTCCTTGGTAAGAGGCGTAGCTACTTATGTGGAAGGAAAGGGTATCATCTCAAGACATATTGTGAGAGCTGCTAACTGGGAAGCAGATGAGTTGGCAAAAGCTGGTATAGGATGATCAGTGGTTATGAGTTATAGTTATTAAGCTGGGGTGTTCTGTTTTTTTAAGGGGTTGGTTTTTAGTGCTGCAGTTTGTGTTTATGATTGTTAAGTCTTATGTTATAAGCAGACCATGGTTATGGATTGGTTGTATGTTATGTTCAAGATTAATACAATTCAGAGGTGCTCTTTTCCTCCTTCCTTTGTCTTTCATGTTACTTATATAACATGTAGGATATGAAGGAGATTTTTAATGAGGCCTATATTCTAT